AGTCTACTAAAGAGAAAGGCATCTCCACCCAGCTGAGGAGCAATAAGCTCTCTCAAAAGTGTCCAGGTCTCCAAAAACAAGCCTGAGATGTCACAGTCCAGAGGAGGCAGACGACACACGGGATGGAATGTGGCACAGTAACTCAATGTGGAAACTTAGAAGGGTTCCTGGAAGAGAGAAGGGAGGCTAGGAACAAAGTGAGAGTAGTGTGAATAAAATACCAACTTCAGGCAAATGATCACATGTCAGTCTTGTAACACACTACGCTAATGCGAAATGTTAGTAACAGGAGATGCTGGGTTCAGGCTTTGTGGGTAAAATTTTCATGCAATGTATACCTCGGAGCTCTTTATCATCTTCTATGTCCTTGCTGCAAACACAAAGCTGTTTTAAAAGGTAAAACCATTCACTATTTTGAAAATAAAAGGGAAAGATGTGCCCAAGAGTCTGACTAGCTCATAGAGTCTTAGTCTGCCATTTGTTAAATTAACTTGAGGCAGGTCACTTAAACTCTCTAGCAAGCCAGTTTCCCGCCAATACAATGGGAATGGGAACAGGGTCTACGTTGTTACAGTAGGTTCAGGAGACGGTCTTTGTAAAGTACATAACAAGGGGCCAGGCAACAGGAGATATAGGTCAAAATGGCAGCTGCTAATATCACTGTTCTTACTGCATACATTTATTAGGTATTCAAATGCATGGTTAGTGTGCTATTAAATTTGTTTACTTTAAAACGACTATTCACTTGCACAGTTATTTGCTTTTAAATGATTTTACGATTTTTAATTATGTGTTCATGTTGGGGGTACATGTGAGTGTGGGTGTTCAGGGAGAGCAGAGACAAGGGCCTTCAGATCCTTAAGGGTGGTTATGAGCTGCCAGACATGGGTACCAGGAATGAACCCAGGTCCTCTGGAAAAGCAGGACATACTCTTAACCACACTCAAACCCCTCACTTCCTTTTATGAGAGAAAGAAAATTGAATACCATCGAACACATAGAATCTATAAAACAACGTGAGTTTTCTCCATAAATCTTAAAATGTTGAGAGGTGTGCCAGCATGAATTGTCCCCAACTGTTTACTTTAAATAGCCATCTATGGTAATGTAATGAATGAATGCTCATCAGAGGTTCTGTGTGTCCATTAGGATGTCATTATGTCTGCAAAGCAAACAGTTACCATGATGTCATTGTGTCTGCAAACAGCTACCAACAACCAGATTTTACCTTGGAATTACACTAATTTTACTGACAATACATAGCAAAAATGCTTTGAGGGATTTGGTCAACGTGAAAGCAGATGATACTTCTAGGTGTGTATTGAGCTTTGCACATACCCTTAATGCCTCAGCCCCTCCACGAGAGATACCTAAGCATTTGCATGTTCAAAGCCTTGCATGGGTGATACCAGCACGTGAGCAGCCCGACTACTTGATCCCTCACATACTTACCCAACACAGAGATGGCCATGAGGTCTGCCGGGGTTTGAACTGTCTTTGGTAATGTTGCCTAGGTTACCATCATCAGGGATTATGGTCAGCCTAGGACAGTTTCTGCTCTCACTATTATGATCCTGTTCCATCTGCAATTGGGGGCCCTCTTATCTTCAGATTCTCCCTTGATGTGTGCTTAAGAGGACAGCTCACCCGTGTGTGTGTGTGTGTGTGTGTGTGTGTGTGTGTGTGTGTGTGATGGTGGTATGTCTGTTTGTGTGTGACTGTGTGTGTGTGTGGGGAGGGTGTGTGTGTGTATGTGTGTGTGTGTATGTGTGTGTGTGTATGTGTGTGTGTGTAGTATGTCTCCTTTATGGTATGTCTGTGTGTATGTGTGCATGTGTATGTGGTGTGTGTATGTGTGTGTGAGTGTGTGTGTATGTGTGTGGTATGTCTGTGTGTGGTGTGTCTGTGTGTGTATGTGTGTGTGTGGTATGTCTGTCCGTGTGTATGTGTGTGTGTATGTGTGTGTGTGTATGTGTGTGTGTGTGTGTGTGTGTGTGGTATGTCTGTGTGTGGTGTGTCTGTGTGTGTATGTGTGTGTGTGGTATGTCTGTCTCTGTGTGTATGTGTGTGGTGTGTGTGTGTGTGGTATGTCTGTCTCTGTGTGTATGTGTGTGTGATGTGTCTGTGTGTGTGCGTGCACTCACATACATGCATGCATGCATGAACATGTATACATGCACATGTACTAGAGGATCAAACTCAGGACCTCCCACACTCCAACCATTTACTCAGCTACTTCTTCAGAGATCAGCACAGGGTTTGGTCCCCTCTGCTGTCCTTGTTTTCCCTCCCAGGACCTACACACACACACACACACACACACACACACACACACACACCTTTTTCTCTCCTCAGTGTCCCAGTATGGGGACCAGGCCCGTTATGTGGGTAGGGCCCCGCTCCCTGCTCAGGCTGTTACAGCTTCATCAAGGAGTACACATTTTTAGACCCTTCCCTGTGAGACTCAATACGCAAAGGCATACTATCCATACCCCATATAGAGACAGAATTTCGGTTCACAGCCTGCATCAATGCAAGCCCAATAAACCAACCTGCTAACTCCATTAAGCATTCAAAAACTACCCATGGCAGTGAGACCAGGCAGCCTGTCAAAACTTGATTAGTAACCCATACCTGCCAAGAATTTGCTCCACCCACTGTAGAAAGACAAGTATATACCTCTAAACAATCACATGAGATGCCTCAAATCTAGTTACCCTGCTGAATACCTTCCCCATACCATCAGATTTTTTTTTTTCAAAGCCTTCCTTTTTTCCTCCAATTTAAAAAGGTCCCATTTTATGCCATCGGACAAATACACCTAGCTTCAGAGCCCTCTTTCATCAATCCAGATATCCCTGGCTTATACTCATGTATGCCATCTTCATTTATTTCCCCAAGGCCAAAATAGAGCCGTGTGTGTCACCTGCACACTGAATTGTTTTTTTCAAGCTTTTAGGGGCCTGTGAGATGCACAAGAAAAGAGTACAGCAGTAGGGGGAGGTACGCAGCGTGGCTTGTGGCTAAGAACATGAACTTTGGCTACAGACTGCCCTAGTTCAAGTCCTGGCTCTGCCATGTATGGATATGGGCAAGTGACCTCACTTTTCTGTAGACACACTTTCAATGACTACAGCGCCTGACCCACAAGCGAGCTTACGGGGCAGGATTGTGTAAAGTTTAATGTTGTAGAGAAAGATGGCGAGAAGAGAGAAAAGAAGCCAAAGTTCCTGAAAAGAAGCAAGGGCCAGTGCCCTTCCGTTCCCATAGCCCCCACAGACTGGCTTCATCCATCTGACGTGGCATGGCCCCTTGCGAACCTGTGCATTGGAACAAAGCCATTTTGTTTTCCCAAATGCAGTCATTCCCAGAAACTTACAGACACAAATACTACCTATATCATGATCTATCTCAGATATAGAAATAACCTGTTAGGGGAGGGATCTTATCTCTCAAAGGCAGGCTGGAAATTGCTTTGTTTTCCAGAAGTCAGCGCCAAGAATCCTCCTGTCAGATGTGTGCTTAAGGGTTGTAGTTTAGCGTTTATAATCACTGAAAAGAATGTTTAGACGCTGGGCATGGAACCAAGGCCTCCCTCTCACTAAGCAAGCATTCTACTTCTGAACAACTATCCTTAGCCCACTCCCAAAACAAGTCTGTACAACTGTTAGAGCTTCAGGACGTGCGAGCATATTGCTTACCAGCCACAAAGAAGTGTTTTGCCCACAGGGCTGCTATTCTTGGTAAGAAACATCACCATTTCAGATAAAGCTGTTTAAAAAAATACTCGCGTTCATTTCCACTTAGCATTAACTGTGGTGGTCTGAGGTCCTACATCTAACCTCAAAGGGAACCCTTACCCTTAACAAAGCAGTCATTGTGCCATCACTTCTAACACAGAGGTGCTCGATTTACCGAATCAGCATAAAGTGGGTTTTTGAAGAAAACTTTCTAGATTAATTTAAAGAGGCTTTCTTTACAATTTGCAAATAAGCAAGATATAATTAACTAGAACTGGGAGTCCCAGTCACCACAAACAGTAGTGTTTCTCTTGTAGTGTATTGAAGGCTCGTTGAAAACACTGAAGTGGGTTGTGAGAGCCTGACGTCCATCCCAGGGTCCCATGGTGGAAGGAGAGAACTCTCTCCCAAAAGTTGTCCTCTGGCTGCCACAGGTGTATGTGCATGAGTGAGCATGCACGTGTGTGCCTCCTCCCCCCCCCACACACACACACAAAACACCAAAGGGGGCTCGAGAGACAGCTCAGCGGTTAAGAGCACTGGCTGCTCTTCCAGAGGACCTGGATTCAATTCCCAGCACCCACATGGTGGCTCACAACTGCCTGTAACTTCAGTTCCAGGGAATCTGACACCTTCACACAGACAAGCATGCAGGCAAAACACCAATAAACACTAAAAAGCAAAAACAAAACAAAATGACAAACAAAAAAATAAAACCACCAAAGCCTAGATATGTTAGTTTTGGTTTTTTGTTTTTTGTACAAATAGGTTTGCTTTTGTTTGTTTTTGAGATAGAGTCACGTTGCCCAGGCCAGCCAGGAACTCTCCACATAGGAAAAGGAAGGCCTTGAACACCTAACTCTTATACTTCACCTCCCCATGGCTGGCACCACCACGGTCTGTTTTATTCCATTCTAGGGAATGGAACCTACAGCTTCATACATGCATAGCAACCGAGTCACATCTCTAATTCTCCAAATAATGTTTGAATATTAAAATAATCTGGGCGATTTTTGTAGAGCCAGTAGACATCACTCGCATATGATAACATTTGCACATTTATGCGCACATCGCAGAGAATGAAGCAGGAGAGTATCTTAAAGTGCTAGATGTCTTCTCCATACCCGACTTTCCCAATCCCCCAACTTGAGACATCGGTGGTGCCCAAAGTGTCAAGAGGGAGGAGGAGTGAGTGGCAGGTCTCAGTTAGCTGAGTCCCTGGTGGGGACCACGGGCAGGGCAGGTCTGGGTCGCACTCACCCAGGCCGCGCCAGCCCAGCGGACCGTCACAGCTGTCCAGGATCGCGCACAGCTCGCCCAGCAGCGCAGGCGGCAGGTCGAACAGCAGCATGTGCGCCGACAGCGCGCCACGGCTCCGGCTCAGGCCAGCCATCGCCGAGCCCCGGACCCCACGCGGCGAAGCAGGGATGTCGCCTGCCACCTCCTTACACAACCGCGGAAACCCAGCTCCCCGACGGCTGCCGGGAGTTGCAACTCGCCGCGCCCCTGCGCTCGCAGGGCGGGTCCCACGTGACGCAGGGAGGCGCTCCCCAGGGATGCCCCAGCAAGGACCTGGGCCTCCCCTGCCTCCTACCCCACCCCACCCCGGCCCTGCGCCCCGCCCCCTGCCCTCCAGTTCTGCACCGTTCTGTCAGTCCCTGGAAAGTGACCCCGACCGCTGAGACCAGCCAAGAAAGTGAGGGCGGAGACAGCTGCCGGAATCCGGGAAAGCCACCAGCCCTCTGCTGCCCTGGCTTGGGCGGCCACCTGGCCAGGATGGATGTGGCGGTCTTCGTTACTTCTTTTAAAGTTTCTCTTTGTCCCGTCGCTGAGAAACACGTTTTCCTTTCCCGTTTTAACCAAATAAATTTAAACGGAGGAAAACGTAGACACGCTGCGCGCGGGGGTGGGGTGGGGATGGTTATGGATGTAAGGGGACAGTCACAAAATACAGCCCAACCCATCCTTGCAGCCCCTGCCACAGTGCCTCTTGGTTTTACTTCACTGTCCTCTTCCTTCCTCGGAGAGCTTCATCGAGCTTGAGACATGGGGTTTAAGCAACCCTGGCCGTTGTTTTGAAATATTCTACCGTTTACATGGTAATGACCCACCACAGGAACGGTCTTCAAAGGGGCTGGGGAAATGTCAGCTCTGGAGCGGGAGATGGGACAGTGACATCGACTGAAAAACAAGTACTTGCTGCAAAACTCCCAGAGCTTATTGGGGACAGCTCCCTCTGGGGTTCAGCAGAGGTGGTGTAGGGGCATGCAACCCCTCCCACACATACCACACACACACACACACACACACACACACACAACACACACACACACACACCACACACACACACCACACACACATACCACACACACATACCACACACACACCACACACACACACACACACACACACCACACACACACACACACCACACACACACACACACACACCACACACACACACACATACCACACACACACACTCACACATATCACACACACACACACACACACACCCAAAGAATAGTAGTATTCTGTGAAAAGCACACATGAAAACTGGTAAAATTTGAGGGGAATTTCTGAAGCCCCTTCATTCTAATGACTACGGTGTGATGAAAATACAAACTTAAAGAGACCTCCATGTCACTGGGCTGAGCAACAGAGGAAAGAGACAAGCCAGCTGAGACAAGCCCCTGGGGCGCTTGTTTGGCTCAGAGTTTTGGTCCATGGTTGCTTGACCTCAGTGTCTTTTGGGCTCCTGTGAGAAGTCAAAGCATCTGTGTGCCACAGAAGGGTGCTAAGTTCATGACAGCGGAGAGGGGGAGGAGAGGGGGGAGGAAGGGGACAGGGAAAGGGAGGGGAAAGGGAGGGAGAGAGGGTAAAAATAGAGTGTGTGTAAGGGGCTAGGGTGCCAAAAATCCCTTCAAGAGACCCAATTTCTTAGGTGAGGAGACAAGCTCTTAGTCTCTGGGCCTCCAGAGGACATTTACAATCTTCACCATGACAATAATAACAGGGACGCTCAGAAATGCTTGCATCCTCAGATCCTCTAATTTACCACAAGGCAAGGAGAAAGAAATTGGGGATAAGATATCCCCTTCATAGTCACACCTCCAGTGAGTGACACAATCCACCCATGAAGTTAGTGCCCTTCTGAGATAGCTACCTCTCGATACTGCCACCAACTGGAATACATGAACTTTTAGTGGTGTTTACTGTCCAAGAAGTAATCTAAACTTCTCTCTTCTGTAGGGGCGAACCATCTACACCCCTACCTGAGTCTCATCTTTTACGGACACTATGAATCCTATCCCTTTCTCTGTACCTGATGGGAGTGGGGGGGGTAGCTGTCATTCATCTCTGCAATTTTAACTATTTGTCATTCTGCTGGCTCACCTCCACCAGAATATAAACACAATACTATTTCTTTGACCTTCAAAACAAAATGCCTTTGATTCTGCCTCCCTTGCTTCCTGACAGAGTTGGCAATTCTCACCACCTCCAGCCTTTTCCTTATGCTCCCCTCAGCAGAGTCACTTTACCCTACTCAGAGTCCTCTTCAGGGCCACCCATGTCCACAACGTTGGTGCTACCACCCTCTGGACAGTTTCCATCATTATGGATGGTGTCGACAGAAAATCAAAGACTGAAGAAGGATGTGGTAATGAGCTGGTAGAATTTAATTCTACAAAAAGGGACAGGCCGTAATAAGAAGGACTTGAGATCCCTCAGTTTGTTGCTTGCCTCCCGTCTTGCATGCATTGTGATCCCTCTTATGCACGCTGCTTGGAGCTCGCACTGGGATGCTATTAGTCACGTTACAGCACAGCCAGTAAGCTCTTTCCGAGGCTGGCCAGATGTGGTTACCTGATATTAGATCTTCAGATTCCAAAACTGCGAACTAGCAAAACCTCTGTAGTTACAGAGTAGCCCCGTTGGAAACACAAAGAAAACTAAGATATTCGCTGTATGCTTGGGTGCACATATGACCCCCCCCCCGTCTTCGTTTTGTTTCCTGTTTCTATGATAATGTACCCTGAAAAAGGGCAACTTAGGGTAGAAAGGGTTTAGCCTACAACTCCAGGCCATAGTCCTTCTTTTCAAGACAGTAAAGGTGGCAGGAACTTCAGTCAGCTACATATATTACATTCCCAGTAACTGGTAGAAAACAGGGCTGCAGAAATGGCTCAGAGCTAAGAGCATTGGCTACTCTTCCAGGGGACCTGGGTTTGATTCCCAGCAATCACATAGCAGCACACAACCACCCATAACTGCACTTCAAAGAGATCTGAAGACCTCTTCTGGCATCTACAGGCACTGGGCACGCATGTGGTACATAGACATATATGTAGGCAAGACACTCATATATGTAAAATTACTTTGAAAAAGAAAGAGTAGAGAGCAATGAATTAATGCATGGGTATCGGTGCTCACCTGGCTTTTCTCCGCTCATATAGTTCAGAATTCTGTTCCCAGGAGATAGTATAAACTTATGGGTTAATTAGCCATTACACTCTCCAAATCTCCTGATTCATTAGAATGATTCACAAGACTCAGGAGAGGCTCATGCAGTCATCCCTCAATATTTCTGCCAGTATTAGTTCCAAGATTCAGTGATTGGACTAAATCATTGCAGGAGGGTGTAGCTGATAGTCCCAGTGTGTTAGTCATGTGCATAGTCATTCCGGGATGCCTGTTGTGTTTCCTCAAACTGCCTATGGACTCACCACAGATCACCTCAGGAATCAGATTCAAATGTGATAGAACAGTTCATTATAAACAAGAAAAAGACAAACCCATCCTTCCAAACATTCCAGGAGAGGGGGGGATGCATTGTTCATTATATCAAACACTCACAACCACATCAATGCTACCTGCTTTTAATAGACAGGAATTGAAGCCTACTGACCCACAAACTATGGGGCATTTCCTGCTCAGTTTTCTCCTCTCCAAACCTGTCCATGTTAAAGTCACTGGGAGCTCTCCATTACAAAACAGTCTCCCTGCAAAGTTTTTGACGTCTGTTTTTATGAAGGTTGTGTTCATTCTTTCTTCTCTTTCACACCCTCTCTCCCTCTGATGATCTCGTCTCCCTTGACACTTGACAGGGTCAGTCCCTTAGATTTAACCGATTGATGAGTGCTTAGAGATATTTCTTTTGGATGTTTAGCTACACTTTTTCTGACCACTGATAGTAAGCGTCTTCCCATGTGTTTATTTGACTTCACTCTATGCTCATGTGTTACCTGATCCAGCCTCTTGCCCATTTTCCTATTGGATGCTGGCTTTACAGGATGAGTCTGGATTTGCGATCATTGTTTTTGTGGTATGAAATGAATGAAGCTTTATATAGATATGTGTATCAAATATTTCCTATTCTGTGGTTTGTTCTTTACTCATTACTGATAAATTTTAACTACTAGGTGTTCTTACTGTTTACATAATTTGCAAGTCTTCTTAGATTGACTAATATTTTACCCGTTTTCAACAATCTTTCTTTTTCTACAAAGGTCGGTTCCCCAGCTCATCTCCACCTTGCCGTGTACATCTATTCCTGTGGCTTTTTTTTTTTTTTTTTTTTTTGAAGTGGATAACAGTTTCTAAAACATTTAAAAAGTAATAAAAGGTAAGCATTTTTTTATTCTTGTCATTATGGAACATTTTTGAGAAATGATTCCTGAAAATAATATGTATTTATTTTTAGAATAAACCATTCTTCAATTATTTTGAACCCTATTTGCCTAGTCTTGCGGGGGTGGGGGGGAGGAAGAGAGCTTTGGTTAAAACAAAAATTTGGAGAATATGTGTGAATCAAAATAAACCCATCAAAAAAAATTACTTTAATCCCAGCACTCAGGAGGCAGAGGCAGAGGCATGTGGATCTCTATGAGCTCAAGACCAGTCTGGTCTACACAACTCTTTCTTAAAGTAAGTGTGTGTGTGTGTGTGTGTGTGTGTGTGTGTGTCCTGGAGTATTTCTTTGGCTGCCATGCATCGTTTTTCCGCCCGCCGCTGGTCTTGTCCTGCCGCCGCGCTCCATTCTTCCCCTGGCTTTTGAGAGTTCTATGTTTGGCATGCGGTGGTCTGGCCTTTGTTTATCTGTCCAGCCTCATTCTTGGGCACCTGTCCCCTACACCACCAGGTGACCTTCACCCTCTCAGTTTGCAAACGTTGGTTCCTTGATAACCCGCACCCCATCCCGCTGGTGGATCCCACTTTCTTTCAACATTAAGCATATTTCGCTCAAAAAGTGTTTTAAAAGAAGTGCCCAGTAAGAGTAGGTCTGGTTAATGCCTTAAAATAATTGCATCAAAAGTGCGTTCCTGGCGTGGCTACTGAAGAAGTGAATTTATGAGACGGGTTGTTGGCTTGATACGTGAATCTTCTCATCATTTCAATCATGTTTAGCACTTGTTCCGGGAAAGGCCTA